GATCTTCCCAGATAAGGACAAGAGCACAGTGCCACAGTAACTGCAGCAATCCAATCTATCTCCTTTGTTAAATATGGTTACAATTCTGGCATCTCTCCAGTCACTGGGATGATCATCAGGGTGGTTGGAGAATTTCTCACTAAGAGAGTGCTGGAGATGATTGTTTTAGCAGGGTCTTTTAAGCACTCAATATTAAACCTCCTTGGTTGCTTCTTTTGCTTATGCCATTTTGGGGGGATACGAATGAACATGACAGAATGTATCAGAAGATGATCAGTCCAGCAGTCATCTCAGCTGCTTATAGCATTGGTGATATATTGCACTAGTCCCGGGCACATACTATAACAAAGTCAATCAAGTGCCAGTCTTTTAAGCAGGAGAGCACCCATGATGTCTTCCATTTTTTGCTTCTATGGAATAGGGAGTTTATAATGATGAGATCATGTCCTGAATGCTTGCTCAGGAGGGGAATTCCACTGGAATTGACTTTCTCTACCCTTTCCATAGCTCAGAGTCCCTGTCCACTCTAGCACTGAAATCACCAAGAAGAATTATCTTTTCTGTTTGGTGACAGGTGATAGGATTTGGCCAAGTTTAGAATATAATTCTTCCTTTGTTTCATCTTCTACATCAGGAGTCAGGGCATATGCACTGTTGACTGTTACATGTTGTTTGCTGATTAGCAGAAGACAAATGGTCATGAGAGGCTCGCTGCCAACCAGTCATTCTGGCATCTGAGTAACAACCTTGGTCTTGATAGCAAAACCAATACTATGGATTGCTTTAATCTGGCCCTGTTAGGGCTGTCCACTGGGATACAGACATTCCAGGTGTCAAACTTCATTATGTGATTTAGACTGTAGATAGATCCCAATGGATACAGTTTTCAAGTCAAATGAAATAAGACAGATTATGTTTACGGCACCTTTTCTAGCCCCTCCCCCCATTTATGGGGTAAGCAGAGCAGATCCTAAGTAGACCTACTAAGTCATGACTGCAGCTGCTGAATTGCATATCTGCTCAGTTCTAAGTACAAAATGACCATCACACAGTCATTGCCTCCATGTAGGTCCTTGACTAGGAGCTTTTGGTAATCTGCCTCTGTTGCCACTCACCCATCACCATAAGACTTGCTGTTGATGGAAGATTCCTGCACATGTTTTTGTTTAACATAAGGATGTCACTGTGCATCAGCATTGGCATGAAACTCTGTGGGAAGTAAACCTTAATCTGACAGCAAGGAAAACCTAGACAACTGAAGGTTTCTGTTCCACTGCAGACTTCATCCACCTTTGCAGCCATTTAAAGTATTCTTTCTCCATGCACCTGCTCCACTGGTAGTAATTTTTGTTTTTGGATCCCTGTTAGTCTAGAAACTTTGCTCCTGACCTTGCCACGATAGATGACCCCTACTAGGCATATAAAACTCCAGATGGCATCACTCTCAAGGTCACTGGTAGCACACATGCCTCTCCATCATGTCAATACTGAAATCCTTGACAGGTTCAATATTACCATTGGAATTAGAGAGTCTGTCCCCTCTTTCCCCTGAAGTGGGGACAGACTCTCTGGTCCTAGCAGGCTGCATCTTTGAGTTACTTTGTCATGATATAGAACTCTAATCTGGATACTGGAACTCTATGAACAGCCACCATGCTTGCACATCAGTATTTTGCTGATGATATTTGTCTCCTGAATACATTGACAAATAAAATGTAGCAAATGACCAATAATCTAATGTGAACTGCAAGACATTTAGGTATTATAGTCAGTGAGTCAAACAATAGAGTTTGCAAAAACGAATGAAACTTTCCACAACTCCATCACTCAAGAAAGAGAAGCCTTGAGAACTCTTGGTAAGTTTCCTTAACAGGACAGGATCTTTCCTAAATCTGGAGAATGAATTTATAACATAACGACTCAAGTTGTTAAGGCAAACACTGCTTTTTGGAAGTTTCTCCCAGTAGTGAAGTCCAATAACCATCAGTATTCGCATACGAATTTTTAGAAGCAATGCATACTAAACATTTTCCAGCATGGGTCAAAGTCATGGAAGGGCAACAAGTCTCTTAAACAGAAGTTAAACAGTTTTCAGGGTGAATGCCTACACCAGATATTCAAAGCAAAATGGTCTGACAAAATAAAAAATATTGAGATCTTGGTGAAGACAGTTATCCACAGCTGCATAAATAGTACAAATGAGAAGGCAGACTTACCTTAGCCATGTTTTGAAAATATCAGAAAACAGGGTCCCTTAAAAAATCCCTGTTTTGAAAAACCCCAAAGCAAAACAGAGAAGTTGACCCAGAGGGCCCAGCATGATAATGCCTGAAGCAGTAACTTTACAGATCAACAACTTGAACAAATTAAAGGAACTGGTCCAGGATAGGATTGGTTGGCAATAACTGAAGTACCTGACAATGCAAAAAAGTAGACTGGATTGTACTGGATGGGTGTTATGAACACAAAACCACAAATTTTCCAACTGTGTAGCACTTCGGTGCTCCAACACTTGAATATAGACTTTTTCCAAGCTAAATCAGAACTTTCCACACACAGCCATTTTTCAAATTAAGTATGTGAAAAACACCTGGTGGACATATTAGGAAATAGTGAACTATTTTCTTCCTTGTGGGGATTCGAGAATATATTAAGTAAATTCTACCTTTGGGCAGAACCAGGATAACTTTTTGGAGAGTCGTAAACTAGTGAAAAGACAGGGATTCACAGACCATTTTTTTTCTTTACTACAATGGTCACTAGCAGTGACCACTACCAGGTTACTGTATTACATATTTATATATAGACACATACATACACACATATAAGTATACACACTTTAAATATAGACTACAAAGAGCCTGCTTTAATTTAATTTAGCCATCTGAATGAAATAGACATTAAAATGCACTAACCCAGCCAAGCTAAATAAGAAGCAAGCACATAAATAAATTATTCTCCTTCCCCAAGACATATGCATTTAATTGATTACCCAGCTTTACACTTTCAACTACTTTACCATTCACCTGCTCTGCTCATGTTAATATTTAAAGGAAGAGTCAGATAAGTGATCTGTGAGAAGTTCTCAATTTGCTCATTACTCTTCTAGAATAGCAGTTGGATCACCTTATTGCAAAAACATAAGAACATAATAGATTCAAACCCCAGAAGTCTCCAGTTTCTTTGTTTTTTGACGTTTGGGGCAGGTAATAAAGTACCATATTTTGGCAAGAACTTATACACCTCCCTCTAGGCTTAACACATTTTTACAAAAAAGTGAAAACATCATCAAGTGTTTCCTAATCAAAAAGAAAAAGGAACTAATGGCCAAACCATAACATATTACATTTAATAAAAAAAATATATACAAGAAGCCCCAAAATAACAATTAAAGCTAAAGCACCTCAGGCTTTCAAACCAGTTCTCAGTAAATCTTTACTTTGAGAAAGATTCCCTATCTTTGCTTCCTCAATAAATATCTTCCCAAATCTTCTCTTTCCTAAACAGCTGTCACCCTTTGCCCTTTCTTCCCTCCTTCTGTTAGATTGTTAGATTTTCTGTTATAATGTTAGAGTATATCCTCTTAGAAGAGGGGTAGTGTTTTATTCTGGGTGTCACAAAGCACCATGTATATTTATGGCACTTTATACATGATTTATAATAATTTAGTTACATAAAACTGTTTTTCTACTTTAAATACTGGATGACATTTTGGATCTGTTATAACTCTGTTATGGGTCAGTACGGTGCATCCTTTTGTAGGCAGAATAAGTAGTGAACATGAAGCAATGGTTGACAATTGTTGACTGTTTATTAGCTTCTGCTTCAGTGTTTTTTTCCTGACCAGACAAAAGTTAAAATACAGCTCTTGCTTTATGTAAGCTGTCAACATTCTCAAACTGAGATTATCCCAAAAAATAAAGAATCTAAATATTGTAGACTTGCTTCCTCAGAGTCTCAAAACAGCAGACTTCTTATGTAGGTGAAGGGTGTTTGCAGTCGAAAGCTTGCTAAGACCTCTTTTCCAACCACTCAGTTGGTCTAATAAAAGATATCACATCTACTCAAAGAACTTTGCCTGCCTATATCCTTAGACCAGCACAGCTACAACCAAAAACCAAGCAGACCTGCTTTCACACTCCATAACGTCATTTTTATACTACTATCTTTCCACTGAGATTGACTTTAGTCAAAAAATACTTTTGACATGGAAGAAGTTATCAGGTTTTGCATAACTTTAAAGAAACATGCTGCCTAGGTATGTGCGCGCAGTCCTCAACTTACGTTTTGAGTTACAATGTTTCGCACTTACAACGTTTATAAATTGACACCCGGTTTCAACATTACAACGCTTGATCTGATGCGATGCCACACCAGCAAACAAGTTCACTGCATCGGTCATCTCCCTGGAGAACATCTGTACAAACTTCCTTGGATACTTTCTTTAAGAAAGCAAACAAGACTCCAGAAAAACCTGCAGCCAAGACTCCTGAGAAGACTCCAGCCAAGAACCCTTCAAAAATCCAACCAAGAGCCTTTCAAAAAGTCCAGCAAAGTCATCTCAAAGAAGTCCTTCCAAATCAATATGATTGCTATTTACAATAGAAATATATTAATGTAGCTATATTATTCATCTATAATTGATCTAGTACAAAATTCTGGGGCATTTTTAGTGAAAAGAGGGTATCGGGCCTTGGTTCAGGAACCAATCCCCCATTTATAACATTGTTTCTTTTGAGAAAATTGGCTCTAAGTTACAATGTTTTGACTTAAGACGTGATTTTCAGGAACCAATTGTGTTGTAAGTCCGAGGACTGCCTGTATAGTTACTGCATACTACCTCTTTTACTCATAAGAATTATCACATACATATACTGCTTATCTCCTCAAAAACATTTTACATATGCTAATTAATTTAATTTCAATTGCCCCATCAATTACAGGGAGTCTGAATAGGAGTACTTTGAAATAAAAAGTTCAAACAATGAATCTGGCCTTACCTTAATGTTCTTAAGTCCCACAGTTTAATACCATCACCAATTGCCGAGGTCATGAAGAGATTATAAGCTTCAGGCTGCTGAGTGCTAAAAGCTGATCCCTGTAATATTAGAAATTAGTGTTATATAATAGAACTTCAAGTATTGAGAAACTGAATCCACTGAAACAAAATCTACAAATACATATTTTCCAAATAGCTCAAATTTGCACATGAAACTTCATTACATATACAGCGTTCACTCTGTAGGAACATCATGGACCTATTCACAACAGGTTTGCCATACATTGTACTCTTCTGGTTTTTCACATGAAGATTTAAGAACCACTCCCTCCAAACCCTCTTCCAGTACTGTGCTCTTCCCTAAACGTACATATATTTCTAGAGGAAAACATCTGTTATGAGCAACTCTACACCGTACTCCTTACATGGTCTGCAGAAAACGGGTACCACTGTAGCCTGACTAACAGCCTCTACTAATGAAGCTGAGAGCAGGGAAAGACAGTTACTCCTGTTAACAGCAACTGGTATCTTGAGGACAGAATCTAAAGTCATTAAAGCTAGGGACAGAAATTACACATAAACCAGTTTAAGTGATCAGAAACTGGTTTAAGCCTGTAACAGAACAGAAGCTCAGTGCACAGAAACCAGTTTCAAAATGGTTGAAACTAGTTTAAGATACACTTGGTTGAATGTAATATCAGACTTAACTGATTTGGGTGAAACCAATTTATGAACCTTCTGCCCCAGACCCCTTCCTGGTTCAAGTTAAATCACAATCTCCCAGCATGCTTTGCTGGGCTGGGCTATCTGCTCCTCAGAGCAGGGCTGGCCCCACCCCTCTGCTCCCTAGCTGGAGCAGTGAGAGCTGGCTAATAAAGGGGGGATTAGCCCAGCTGGGGATGCAGCCCAATCTGCAAAGGGGAACTGCCCCCCACAGGCAAATCCCGGCTCGGATTTGGGGCCAGGGAGGGGATTAAACACCCCTTCCCCAGCTCAAACTTACTGCTCACTGCACCTGTGGACTACAAATCCCAGAGGCACCTAGAAGCAGGAAGAGAAAGTGGTGAGCAACCCTGCAGAGTCCTGCTGGTGTAATTCTGGACTGCAAATCCCAGAGACCAGGGGGCAGCAGGAAGAGGAAGTGAACACATAGCCAGAGAGCTGTGCTCTAGCTCCCCCCAGCTTCTGGCCTGAGCCACTGTAGGCATGTGGCTGCATTTCCTGATCAAAGGCAAATGTCTGTTCACTTTCTTGTATCAATTTAATCGCTGCATTTTAGACTAACCTACAAAGACTGAATTGATTCAGCCTCGGGCTTTTTGACTGTTTGTACCTAACCCAAGGGAACACACGTGGTTCCTTAGCAATAGATCATGAGAGATAAGACAATATAATAAGCATGTAGCTGTTAGAGAACCCCTAATTAGCTCTAGCAACTGCAAAGGATTAGTGTTCTCACCTGCTGAGAGTGAGAATGTTTGAACACCTGCCTTCTAGGGAGGTTCAAACCATAGTTTGTGCCCTCTTGTCAAGATTTTAAAAGTATTAAGGGAAAAAGAGCTCTAGGTATTAGCATCAATCTGTTTACTACAAGGAAGTATCATGCTGCCAAGCCCTGGGCTTGAAAATTTCATCTTCCATCTCAAACACTACATGAGTCAGTTATGTAAATATAAGATGGCATTTTGACCTCTCTTGGGAGTTAACACTCACCAGTAAATGTATAATCTATGCAAGACTAACCTCCATAATCTAAACATGTTCAAATTAAACTATCTACAATGTATTCAAATTTTTAAAAGCAGGAGATATTTTAGCAGATTTCAATATTAAGATTTGTTTTTGTTGGGAATTAAAAACAGAATTTACAAAAGATTGCAAAAAGAGAAGAAAAAGTAGTAAAATATTATGAAGTTCATCAACTCTACAGATTTAAAACACATAATACAGATTATATAAGGGACAATATACCACGGAACAATGAACCAAATTCAGCCCTGGCATAAGTGGGTATAATTTCCATAGACTTCATTAATTCCGTAAGTGAATTTGGCTTCATATCTTTAAATAATTAAACAATCTATCTATCTTTAACTCCTTGATTTGCTACCAGCAGTGTTGGCAAACCTTAACTTCCTTGTTGGCTCTGAATCCTCAATCTCCAGGGAATTAAAATGAAACAGTTGTATCCTGCCCCCCTCCTCCCCCCGCATCTTCCCCCACCTCCAATACACATTCTTGATTTGTCTGGATACATCACAGAAACCTTTGGGTCATTTCCCGTAATCAGTGCTTGACTGCCAGGAATCTTCTACTCTTTACAAGAACTGGTGTATAAGTAGGAAATACTCCAGAATTTAGTCAATGAATATTCTGCATCGCCATAAAAATGACCTGCAAATGGAGTTACAATAACTCTTAACTTTAGAAATATAAGCTGAATGCCCCAAACAGCAAGAGCAAGATGGCCCTCCAACCTTAAAACAGACTAGAATAGCCCTCATTCCCTTATTTTTATTTCCTAGGATGCCCTTGAGTGCACTGGGATACTGATTTCACAACCATTACAAAAGTGTACTTGAATATGGAGCCAACACTCCTGCCTTGGGTTTTGCAACATGTTATTTATTACTACTACATATCTCCAAATGGCAATATGTCCAAAATGCAGTAGGCTCTCTAAACTCACACCTGGAAACAGAAAAATTTAATCTCACCCTTTCCTGAAACCCAGTCTTCAGAAATTTTTAATAACTTCCTGCTGGTTTCAGTACTCATCATAAAATGCCCCTTCTACTCTTTTTAAAAGTCTTTAAAATCTACTGTTTGTCCTTTTTTCTAGTTTTATCTCCTCCTACTCTTTAGACAATTTAATAAACTCTTTTTTTCCATTTTTGAACATGTATAATTGGTTTATTTTTACTACCTTACATCTTTTGTAATAATTCAACAATATTTTCACTGACTTCACAATGCACCAGACACTGGACTATCAAGCAGACCCTCTTCACATCTGATTTTAAATCCTCTCTTTTCTTTATGAGCTATTTTGCTTCCTCCAATTCCTTTAAATCCAACTTCTACCTTTCTGAATGATTTCCCTAAAGTTCTAGTATACCTGAGACTGCTCTACTATATCCATCTGTTTGCCTATATGTTCTGTATTATATATGGATGCTACCATGTCTGAATAAACTCTTAAATTTTCATATGCTATGTATAAAAAAATAATTTGTACTATATGAAATCCCTTTTATAAAAAAAACTAAAGATAAGCGTCCGTATCTAATCAAAGAAACCTAGGGTACTTATAAATGGTTTCTATGAAAGAAACCACCTGGGTCTGCAGAGAAAAGAGGATGAAAGTCTAAGATGGAAACTCTCATAAAGCAACAGCTGTAATATTTTGTGAATCAGGCTGTTTTTAAAGCTAACATAGAACGTTATATTCCTTTTTCATTTAATGCTTTAGAAATGGAAACATTTAAGTTTTGAAACAAAAAGCATAGCATTTTGTCATCCAGCATATAAAAATAAACAAAAATCCTGCCCGAACAAGTTTAACAATGCAGACTAAACTGCAAAGATCTAAAACAACAAATGATGCAGTTTTGCAGACTAAACTGCAAATGATCTAAACTACAAAGATCATTTCACACACAAAGCACTTGGATGTTAGAATAGTGTGATTACTAACTGAAATATGACTAATATGTCTACATGAGTTACTACATATAACAGCGATTAAAAATGACCTACTTTTATATTTACTGGAAACACTCCATTTGGGTATATTATTATAATTGGTATTCAGCTAAGATTTTCACATGTTTCTTTTATTCAGGGTATAACTGATACTGCATGATTAATAGTCTCCAAATCAATAAGGTCCTAAAGCACACCTATAAATCTAAATATGTAAGCATTCCTTCTGACTTCAATGGGACAACTGCTTACTGTCTCAAAATCACATGTGCAATAAAGTATTTGGTTAGATCAGAATCCAAGACCTGGATATTGCACAACATATATAGTGCCAATATGAACAGAGGAGCACGGGGGAACACTATTAGTAGTGTCAGCTCTTTTATGTTGTTATAAAGTTGGTCCCACTTATTAATAATGAATAAAACCAAAAGGGGACTGAAGAGGTAAGTGCTTAATTTGCATGCTAAAAAATGTTCTTAAAATGTTGTCTCCTATTTATTCCTGTTGTCACACCTTTCTAATCCTGTGCTCTTAGAGAGAGTGCAAAAGAGGCTTAAAAGTTTATTCTTGATTTGGAGGATTAAAACCATGTCCTGATTGCCCAAGTACATGTATAATTCTGCACATGCTCCCTAAATGTACTCAGAGGGGGGGAAAAGACACAATGAGTATCTGTTTGAAAGAGAAGGAAAAGGACGGGGAAGATCTATGGGGCCAGGAGCACTGCAAGCGAGAAGGCAGTGTGTAGGGTGACCACCTTTTGAAAATGGAAAAGCGGGGCATATGCCTGAACCCCCCCACACCACGATACCCACACCAACCGTGCCGCCATAGTGAGGCACTCTCTACTTAACCAGCAGCAGCAGGGGGCACAACTCCATGCCGCTGCTACTGCCCCTGCCATCCCCCTGGCCAGGCAGAGGACCACTTGCTATGGCAGTGCAGCTGGTATGGTGGGGCTTCCAGTGGCAGCAGCACCAAGACTCTCAGTTCTGCTCTGCCCTCCTGCTCTGGGTCCTGACCACTGGGCTGTGGAGGTCCCAAGGGGGGAGGGAAGCAGGGTGGGGATCCCCGAACCTGCACTGGGCAGCCCGCATTGGCCCCTGCTGCCCCATACACAAATCTGGAGGGACACATGCCTGCCCCCCTCCGCGCCCAAAGCTCCCCTCCCTGGGAACGTGTATAGTCAGCTCTGCCACTGCCCCCCACAGTGCACCCAGCCTCCAATCTCGCCCCACTCCCTCCATCCCTCCTTCCATCCCTCAATCTGCCCCCCATGCCTTCTCCTCTCCCCATAAACTTACCCGCAGGTCCCCCTGCCTGTGTGTGCATGCACCCATGCACATAGCGCCCCCTGCGTCCCACTCCGCACCCCCCTCCCCCCAGCCTGC